TATATATATATATATATATATATATATATATATATTATATTATATTATTTATATTAAATATTGTTATATAATATTAATATTAATATAATAATATTATTATATTAAATATTATTTTTATATTATATTATATTATATATTATATATTTGAAAATATATATATACGAGTGCAAAGATTCAGCTTACTAGGTCGATCATTTTCTTTGCATTACTTCCCGAAGTACGCGATTTAATTAAACAATATTTAAGTACGTTCCGATTAAGAAAAAGTTATTTATTTTCAAAATCTATTAAATATTTTTTTCAGGTGGCGTGGGGCACGGCAGTGATGGAATTGCAGAGCTGGTTGCTCTATCATCTTGTGGCCGTAACCGACTGCAACCAAGGTACAAAAGTGTTCCCCGTATTGCCTGTATTTCGATTCATTCTCACGAACAGGAATGCACCGAACACTAATTTGACACTGTTCACCTAATTTCAACAGATCGTTTTATATTTTACGGAATCCATCGACTCATCATTTTATGCCCTTGGTTATTTTAGTTACTTTTGCCTGAGTTTCAACCGTGCACACAGAACGCAACCCGCTTCTTTATTTCATTTACAATTCCGTTATCGCCTAGAGGAAACAGCGGTTCATCGATGTTTGATGGTAAGTTCCTTGTATTTCGTCGGTAAGATAATATTGGTGTATGAATCATCGACAACACGCGTCAGTCAAGAACGATTTAAAAATTTCCGATTTTTTGTTAGAGCAAAACGTGTGCTCGCAGTGATCAAGCTCTCTGCATCCATCGTTATTTGGAAATTCATTTAAATGTGTTCCAATAAATGTGTCGGAAATCTTCAAACGCAATCTTTGAGCTCCAAGAATTGTTTTTCCATTTCGTTGAACAGACCGCTTGTTATTATTTCAATTTCTTGCGGTTATTACCTTCCTTGTTAATTTCTCTTCGGATTATTATTTGAGAAACAGATGTTCACTCTCATTTCGACGTGGAAACCTTGCAAAACACTAAGTAGTGAATTTCATTTTGATCATCGCATTGGCATTACTGAAGAAGTTTAACTGACAATTATTCTGTAAGTACAACACAGGTTTTTTGATATTAGATTCCATCCGAAATTTCTTTGTACAATGATTTTATAATTTCTGAAAGTCTACAATTCACGTTTAAAAACTGGTGTTAAAAACACCATGTGAAAAAAAATTGTCTAGATTTCTCTTACTATGGTACGATAATTCAAAAATTCTGTTAATAGGCTTTCGGTAAATAAAGTTTGAATTTGAATGAGTTATATACGTATAAAAATTTATATTTGTATAAATAGAATAATGTATAAATATATATATATATATATATATATATATATATATATATATATATAATTTATATATATATATAATGTATAAAAATTTATATTTGTATAAATAGAAGTCTACTATTTATTATTGTATCTCTGCGCGCGCGGTTTCCTCTCTTATCACATCAAACGTCCGCCTACAGTATGTCTAATTTTTTTTTTAGTGATGCAGTCGGCGACGGCACTGAATGGCGGATCTTATCCCGCCAGTGGCACCGGAAGCCGTGCCCGCGATTTAGGTCTACGCGCACAAAAGAAACTTCTAGGTCGAGTTGTGTCCACAGGAGCAGGAAGGTCGCTTCTGATAGATGACGCGACCACTTCGCTATTAGACAATTTGTATAAGCTCATGGAGAGAGCTGCGAAGACTAATCCCAGCTTGGACAAGAAACAGCCGGAGAAAGTCTTGAAAAATATCGTTAAATTGTCCATTAAGGTAGTTCAGGCAGCCGATGCTCTTCCTTAAACACGTATCGGAAGCAGACAATCCGCTTAAATGTTACAATCTCATGAAACCGAGTAACCAGTTCCCCTCGCCTTCGCTGTTAATCGTGTCAAATTAGAGTTACTATTTTTAGCTTTACTCTCTTCTTAAACTGTGTCGAACCTGTATTTCGACGTTTTTCTTTGCCGGAAAGGGTGATGTCAAAAATAACTGAAATTCATTCCGAAGAAACTAGAACAATTGTACAACAAGTATTTCGAGGTAAAAGATCGCGAGGTTTCATTTGGGAAAAGATGACTAAAAGATTAGTCTGTTCAATTGAAATACGTTGGAACCATTGAAAAGCGACAGATGTTATCTTTTCTTGGTATTCTGAACATTTGCAATAGTTATTACAAGTAATAGTTGTTACGAGTCCCATTAGCGTCATAAAAAGTTCATATTTTATTCTTCCACTGACGATAATATTTGTTGCAGGTGGCATTGCTGCAACGTAATCAACAATTGTACGCCACTGACGATGCGAAGCTTGTCGAGATAAGAAATGCTCTGAGAGCTGTGGCGATGTCTGTGGTTTCCTTTTATGAGCTAGAATTCAGTTTCGATAGAGCTTATTTAATAAAGTCGCTGGAACGATGTAGAGCTGCGATACAGTCGCTCATAAAACCACATCTCACGGACAAATCTCAGGACCGGTGTGACCAGATGTTCGACTTTTTAACGCATTCCGACTTTTTGGATTCTGTGTTCAGACAGGACTCTGAACACAGACCTATCTTGGGGATGCTAGTTAGCGATATCAATAAGGCCTTAGATGCTGGGCATCTTTGATTTCTTTTGGTTAACGTAACCGTGTTTTCATGATCACGCTAGAAAAAGAATGGGATGGAAACTTCCAAACTTGCCGGTGTATTATTATCATTGCGGAAACTGTTAAGGGTATTCTTTTTTCGAATACGATAAGGAATGAAATCGTGGAACAGTTACTTATGATTGCCTGTAAAAAAAAGAAAACAACAGATTAAATAAAAGATAGTAATATGTTGTCGATACGGGGATACAGTTCAGTCTTCGCGCGAACGGATCGATAGTAGTGCTCACTGATTTATGCAATAATTGTGAAATACTCTATTTATTTTCAGAATGTATATTGTACGATTAATGTATATTTATTTACGGTAACTTGCGTGTTAGGATACGGACTGTCAATCTATACCAAAAAGAAATATGAGCTTATTTATGCCCGACAATGGGCTCATAGTGATGACGGTAGAAACGCCTCACTAATAATCTCCACAGAATAACCGCGTGAAAGAAGCAGTTTATCGGTGCGATCACGCTAATAGAACACACACGCTCTGGAAAAAAAAATCGTGTTAAAGGCATTAATCTTCTACTCGTCAAGAACTATACTTTAACATATCGAAAGTGCATTATAGGGCAAGATTGCTCTCGCGTTTTTACCTATATTGCGCCTTGCTACGTTTCCAACACACAACATATCTAATATAATCATGGCTAAGCATCAATAATCGAATTGAAAAAAATTTGCATTACTACATGTACTACAAGTATATCGCGGTTTACGCGTGTTTTGTACACATTATACACTCTTTACATATTATTTGTGATGTTTCTCAATGAAATAAAAAAAACGTTGTACGAATATACCATTAATAAATTATTGATAAGATCGATTTAATTTGTTATCTCTTTTCAACCATTATCTTTCCAATTAAAGTATTATATAGTATTGATATATTATAAAGTACTATATAAGTATTGGTATTTATTGATTTCAAGATAGAATTTATCTGAAGAAGTGCTTACAATAGATGTAGTTGCGCACAATTGTAAGAAAACGAACGTGAAACTTGATAAAAAGCCAAGTAATCAGACATATTCCTAGAACTTCTGATTCAACAACAAAAATCGTCTGGTCATCTAATGCTAATGAACATCCCAGTGATGGCACTCGACCGGTTGGTACAAACCAGTTCATAAAATTTTTTTATTTTCCCAAACCGGTATCTAATTGCATCTAACTTTTCTAACTAACATTCCTAAAGTTTAGCCTTATTCGCAACTTGCAAGATGTAATAAATTAATAGCGTATGACTGAGGTATATAAATATTTTTGTATACATATGTTAATTATTTCCTAAGAACGTATTGTAATGTTAAAAACTAAAATTGTAAGAAAACATTTTAAAAAATAATCTTCATGTCTTACTACTTTTAAA